CGACACGTTTCCTGCCGATAAGGATGGCAACTCCCAAAGCACTTGAAATTACTATCAGTCTCCTAAATCTTTAATCTCTCCTCTCGCTAGTTTACTGTTTTCTGATGCACAATCATTATTATGTTCGTCCTATTTGTTTTTGTCGATTTCACGATCAAACGTCTTGCCGTAATCGCATAATGCGGAAAACTATATTTAGACGAACTAGGTCAAACTTGGTGTGATACTGGTATCTAATTAGATGAAGTAAATGTATTAGATTAGATAAAGTAAATTAGAGAAAGTTAACGTATTATGGGACAAACTGAGAAATGCTCCTTATTTATCGAAATTATTTGAGTTTGTTACTGCGTCGAGAAAGAGAGAGAGATAAAGATGTTTAGAGAAAGGCCTAAGCACAAAATAGTTTAAAAAAAAGGTTTTCAGCAAGAGATAGAGATTAATTGTTTTATACATTCTTTTATTCACTGAGAAACTTATGTAAAGAAACATTAATTTTACGCTTATTGATGATAATGTTTTATGAATCGTTTTTAATCGATTAATTTGCGAACGGCAGTATATCTTCTCGGATACGTAAGACATGCCAATCTTATCTCAATACTTAGCAAATAAACTCTCGGTAGAAAGTACGTCGCTCTTCGGAAAGTTACAGCGTAACTGCGAATTTGCATAATGTTACGCTGACGCACTAAACATCTCATCCATTTTAAAGTATTCGAAAAAGCAAGCGAGAAAATCGGTTTTGTTATACTTATTTGTATTTTTAGTATTATTGCATTTGGAATTCAGTTGATGATCACAATAATGTGATTTAATTTGCATATGCAAACAATATTATTGCATTATTCATTCATACTACGTATTTGAAAAATTGAATATTTTTTTAGATCACAAATATAATAATAGTTTAGTTTAAAATAATTTTTTTTATTTTTTTTGTATCTAATTTTAACGATTAAGTTAGAAAAAATAAATTTTTATGAAGAAAACGTGAGATCTGATGTGCCTCATATGACATAATAAGTAATGATTTCTGTACGGAAAAGTTTAACTTTCATAAGAATAACTCCCACGTACTTGCCTCTCCATTTGTAAGTTCAGAAGAGTTGTCTGGATATTTGTTAACATATGAAACACGAGCCGGTTCAAATTCAATGCATATTGTGAAGCATTCTCGTATCGGTGCTTTCGTTTCGTAACGCGAACGTGAATGTTTAGCGACAATCGTTAAATCGCGTTGCCGTTTTTTTTTTTTCGGAAGCAGCGGAATATTTGCAGTGCGAAAACGCTCGAGTAGAAGACTTCCCCCAAAGAAGCTGTCCACGAATATATCCGCGAGTAGACGTCGTTGTTCCCTACTGAGAAATATCTTCCCAATTCCGTGTCGTATTCGTTCTTGAAAGATCGCCCCGTTCCCCGTGTTTGCGAAGAGGGTGGCTTAACCGATGAATGTTTTTCGGACATCGGGAATACATTGAGGGAGGCGGGCTAAGGGGTGGCGAGGAGTTTTCCTCTTTGGCGATCAATCATCGTGGATGATATCCACTTTTCCCCCTACTACCATGCCTCGTGAACTGTACGCAATAAGACACACAAGCCGAGACGGGAAAATGGAACGAAAGGAGACGGGGAGATCATCAACTGGTTCCAAAAAGTTATTCAAATTCGTTAAACAGTGGCTGCTGGGGGAAATTGAAAACGATCTTAGCGTCGAGCATTATCTTTGTGGGGAAACGAGGGGCAAGTCGGAGGAGGGAGACGGCGAAGAGCGGGAAAGGACAGATTTTTCTGAGGGATGGGCCACAATGTCCGAAAAACATTATACATTATTTATGAGTTTTTTTTTCTCATTCGCGTTTTGTTCTAAGAATTGATGTGCTTCAACACGCAGATTTCAATTCCTCGGCGAAAGGAACGCGTTTTTCGGAGCATTCTCCCGCAAATCTACCGCGGTATTGTCAAACGATACTATCTCCCGTACTAATTAACCTCGATCATGACGGTGCACCGGTCACAGTTTGTCCCACGCTAACGACATGGCGCGTTATTACTGCTTTACATGCTTGACACAGAAGACCGGCGAAACACATGCGAGAGCTAAAATTATGGAGAATGAAAGGGTGCGTAATTTCGATTGCAATCACCTTTCGCGGAACACGCGAAACAAAACGTGCATACATTAATATTAGACGATAAAGGAGTGATAAAGCATAACGTATGAAGGCGATAAATGTGTGCGACAACCTGACAGACATCAAGAAAGGTGTAAAAGCCTTCGAAAAACATCACGTACGCGATGATTCACAATTAGTGAGCTGACATAAATCACATTTTTTTATTGTACGTTATTGATAAAGTATTAAGAAAAAATTATTTATATTCAAAAAGTTCTAAAGCGACTGCAATAATTGACTTTTTGAATTGATTTCAGTTAAATTAATAAAAAATGCATTTTTAATAAGATTGCAATAACATTTATTGTGAATTTCCAAAAATATAGATAACAAAATATTTTTAAAGATTATTAATAAAAGCATCATAGCTTTTTGCATGGTTTTTTCAATTTTTTTAGTTTGACTGCACAACGAATATTCTTATTAAACACGTATTTATTATGTGTCGCTTTGTTATTTCAAATTTTATACACATACGTGCGCACACATAACAAAATTAAATAATATTTTAAAATACTAAGAAATTAAAATCAATAAAAACTTAAATAATAATTTAATATCACTAAAAAGGATCAAAATAGAAGATAAAACGGATGGATAGGAGTTTGAGAATTTTCGAAAACCTAATAATTATTCTTTATCTCTGTCTATCGGGTGATGAATAGCTTATCATGGTATAATAAAAGAGAAATTGATTCTCTTTATACAACGCGTTTGCAATTTTTATTTAAATGTTACATGAAGAAGGCTTGACTTTGAAAAGTCCACCCACGAGCTATCATCCGCTCCGATTTCAATGGATCGATATCGAAAGATTCGTGTTCATTTTCTGTGGGTATCCTATTAATCGCTGTAGCCATATGTGCATATAGTTTTGTGTATGTGTGTGTGTGTGTGTGTGTTTGTGTGGAGTGAACCGCAATGTGGTTCCATCACGTATCATTGTCAATTGATACATATTCGTTACCCCTGCCAGATATCAAAAATGACATTTTTCTCCACTTCCTCCGTACATTTTATATCGCGATCGATTTCACGATCCGTTGACTGAGCAAAACAGTTTTGTCAAACTCAATTTTGGTGACATTTCCGAAATAGCAATGTGTATACTCGCAAAGTATAGGATATTGGTTTTATTATACGCAATGCAGGTCTAACTAATAAACCCTTTAAAAGTAAAAGTATTTTCTAACAACTTTTATCGGCTATTCCAATTTAGTGGCATTTATTGATGAATCCGGACATAGAATAAATATTTGCGTTTATTGAGATTGCTCTATTTGGATGCATTCGTTATTCAAAGGAATGATTGATTTCGCATACCGAGGTTTATCAAGATATTTGAACAATTTAATACACTTATAAACTGAATGAAATCGTCAAAATACTTCTGTGAACCATTGTACATCTGACATAATCTACGGGCATTTTTTATTTTCATTATTTACAATCCCTATTTCTTCGTTCGCGTATACAAAACAATTTTGAGATTTTGAATTCTTTAAAAATTATAGCTTCGACAAGAGAGAGAGAGAGAGTCAATAGTACACAGTATAGCTATAACAGTTCAATAAATTCCGAATCCACGGGTAGCGCCACTTTTTCGCAAACACTCGGTGATTTATTGTTTACCGCAGAATCGAGAGAAAGAGAGAGAGAGAGAGAGAGAGAGAATAGATTATTTATACCCTATGCAATCCATTGTTCTTTAAAAAAATTTCATCTAAAAATATAGTAGAAAAATAATAAAGCGGATGTCATAAAATCCATCGTCTTGCTAAATTAATAAGCAAATAAATATAGAACAGGATTGAATGTTTGTCGGCATGTAACAAATTTTTCTTTAGCGTCCTCAAGTCTTTAAAGTGATATAGTATTGATTTGTATCTCTCACTGCTATCTGCCGCCCGACGGTGTTCTCGTTGTGAGAAAATACGCGAAAGCAACAACGCGACAAGTATCAAATAAGCATTCCAATGTACAAACTTTTTCATGGAGAAGCGAGTCGATATCGCAGCTAAACGAGCCGTCGTGTCGGCGAGCCGACACCGTTCGACATTAATAATTTATCCCCGAATATCTTGTAACCAGGCGAAGTTTCTCACGGCATAGAATTTTTCGCGTTCCCGTTTCCACGTCGCCTACCCTATCCGAGCTCTCCGCGCTGTAGAGACGTGAAACTTTTGCGAAAGCCCTCCCTGCTTTAAAGAGGAATCGTCTCCGTGCTTTAAAGAATCTCATTGTTCTTTTCCATTCTTCGTGCAAAGAAAAACAGCGACGCGCATTCAGCGGAACCCGCTGGCGTTCCGGGCGTCGTCCTGTTTGAAAACTCGCGGCCCTCGTCTCGGAGAGCCGCTTGTCTTGCGGAAGTTTAGTGTACAGTTTCCGCGCGACAAAGTTCACGATCCCCGAGGATCGCCGCGCGCGCATTGCGTGGTCCTGCCACGCTCTCGGAACGTCCGAGTTTCTTCGAGAACATAGGGGGCTACCTCTTGCCCGGCATAGCGATCGCGTCGGTCGCATAATCGCGACACGCTCTCTCATCGCGATGGAATCGGATGAATGAAGCGACAGCACAGTCAGTTAGCGTGTAGCGATGGGTTAGAGTGCGCGCACAGCTCGGGTCGGCACCGTTAGTCGATGAGTTAGTTCACAGAGGCATGGCGTTGTAGAGGTCCAGATTGGGATGGTAAAAGAGCGGTGTCGGGGTGGACGGGTTATGGTGAGGCGCAGGCTGCGCCTGTATGAGATTCAAGTTCAGGTTCAGGGGCGCAATGTGGGCCGCATTGTGGTGGTTAAGGTGGTTAAAGCTAAGGTGGTTACCTGTCGGGTAGGGTAATCCGAAACTAGGGTACCCAGAATAGCCGCGGCCCGCCGCGTATGCCGCGTACGCTGCCGCTGGGAAACCTGCAAACATAACGAAAATTTCCATTATATTCTTTATTACTTCTCACGCGATTTGCTTGTCCTCTCGTCGTTCGAGGTCAGGGCAATCGCGGATTTATCTTCAAACAGCAACGTTAATAGAGAAATTTTTTATTTAAAAAACACAAAATATTTGATTTTGAAAGATATCTCTTATTGACAAAAGTCGGTAATGAACGGATATATTAAAGCTATATATTTTTCTCTGACAAAATATTTAAAAAGTTCTGTCATTTTCATAAGAAATTGATTGCTGAAACGACTTTTTTCACATTTCATAAGTTAATACGTTAAGCCGAAGATAGCAATTGTGAGTTGATCGTAATATTAAATTATTCATGATTTAGTGATAATTTAAGGAATATAAAAAGCGACAGAATTAAATTTTTACATTTAATTTGCTAGTTACTAGGCTAAATATTTAATAATTCATACTTATATATACTCATATTTATATCTTTCCTGTTAATTAATCTAGATTAAACTTTGATTAATGCAAAAGTTAATGAAGTAAATAATTGATGTAATCTTTAATATTTAAACGCCATTTATCAGTCAATTGAAAAATATATGTTATAATATGTGTTTAAGCAATGAAATTGTATATAGATGGTCATATATATCGACAATTTCTCGAGCCATATAATATCACTATTACTTTAGGCCTTACGCACAATAGAGAAAATATTAGGAATAAATATTAAATGTTAGAAGTAGTAAATTGATATTTCATTTCAAAACAAGAAAATGAAATGGATTAACGTATGAATTAGTAAATAAGAATTAGAAAAAATTAATCCAATTCCGTTCCCTTGTTTGAAGTAAAATCATTCCAAATTGCTCTTCCTAATATTTGATATTTATTCTTATGCCTAATATTTTCTCTATTGTGCGTAGGGCCTTAGCTATATTCGTCGGCCGTAATAGCAATCGTCGACAGATGTGTATTGAGTCTATTAGATATGTTTTTTTCATACTCACCATCAGGTAATGCTCCCAGGGACCACATAAAATCTATAAGGAAAAATAAACTCGATTAATTTAGATTCGAAATAAGTCACCATACATCGCGAATAATTCTTTTTTTTTTTTAACCCTTTTTTTTCAATTCTTTTCCCTTCATTCATGTTGCGTGTTCGTTAGTGCAACAAGATTTCAAGTCTCCATCAAAATTTCTGCAACTACATACGAAGAAAGATATTGATCGCTCGAACTCTAGAAAATGAGAACCTCGTGTCGGAAATAAAGTTTCGACGTGCCAATTATTTCCGCAAAGTTATACACCGCAGGACCAATATTTTTCTTTGAGCAGGCGAAGGTAGGCGTAGACATTTAAGAATATGTACATGGAGATAAGTTAAGTATGAAGCAAAGCGTTGCAGAAATTCCTCGGGATCAACGTTTCAAGTGTAACGGATGACTAGGTCCAAACGATAAAGAGAACGTAAAAAGAAAAGAAGATTAGAAACAGGATTAGAAGCTTTCTAGGATTATCAGATAGTAAGAAAATGTTTGAGAAGAAAAGAGAGAAGAGAGAGAGAGAGAGAGAGAAAGAGAAAGAGAAATATAGAGAAAGAAAAAGAGAAGAATGTGATAGAGAGATCAAGGCATCCATGAAATTTCATAATTCGATACTAATCCAAAAGACCACACAACTAAGATTCTGACTATGTATATATGTATACCGCATCGACTATATAGCGCATCGACTAAACTGTGTGACAAGGTACTAGTAACTACGCGCGGCCGAGGTGTGTTTCCAATCTACGACAAAATAAACCCTCCTATGAACTATGGTTATTGTAGCCTCCAAAGATATTGGTTAATTATTTACCGTTAAGTAATATCTGCTAGGCTCTCTATATAGCTTATTAGATATCGACTAAGGGACGATAGTATGCCAGCACTCGCGACTGTCTCCCGTAATGTTGGACGAACGATTTTACGAAATGATCGGACGATATATGTGTATATACATATATATCGAATATTGATAGCGCGCTCCAGTTTTGTTTTCGCCGTCGCATGCGTGGCATAATATCGCCGCCACTACCACATTTATATTGACGATACAATATTGAAAAAAACACCGACCACAATAACTACACTACTGACTCACTATGCTAGTGTCCATATTGACGTTGCTCTCACAATATACGCAGATGGAAAAAGTATAAGAGCGTTTATTCTAGCCATTAAAATACACTGATACATATTAATAGTATTAGTAATTCCGTACCTAAAGTCTCTCTACCGGGCTGGTTTTGATTACGTCAAGCGCTCAATGGTACTTTACTATCATTTTGCTCTCTTTTTCTCTGTCTTAATGGCTTTCTAAACTCTTCTGAGCTACAATAAAGTTTGCATATATGTCGAGCACTATTTCGCATTTATTTCAATGGAATCGTTTGCAGCATTACGTTGATATATGTATATCTTTGCCACTCGATCAAAAACACGTGAATAGATCTCGCGCGTGCGTTTCTATATAGCTTCTACGTTGTACACCCTGTGTACTTTCTCAGATGCAACATATCGATCTTACGTAGAGCAGACATTTACGTACGACATTAACATTAACAATCTCTCGCTGTTCCGAGGAGCGCATAAAGCCTGTCTCGGCTCGAGTTTACGATCAGGTTGCCGGTCGATTAACGTTTACATCACATCGATGGCTTCGGCAACGTGGAATTCATTGAGATACTCTTACTAGAATTTTATGTCGCCCCTTTGATGCCGTCCCGTCTCGAGAACGTTTCGCGAGGTCGTGTATCGGGGGTGCATTCCGTCGAGTCGTTCTGCGCCCCCGCTACGTAAATCGTGCGAGACGTCGTCGTGTATACTCTAATATTCTCGTGAAAACCAAAATCCGGCCCAGCCAAGCGTCACAAACAGGCCGAACGGAACGAGACCGCATCTTCGAGATCTGGTCTACTTACGAACTGACTGTTGCGCCTCTCGGGCTAAGTACGTACTCTCTAGGACACACGTCTCACGCATTATTATCAAGGTAAACGGTGCTATGTAGCTTAAGAAAGAGTTAAATACTATGTAGTATACAAGTGGGATACGGGGGGGAGCGGAGGCATAGGTATAGACAGGTATACGCACGATATATATTTAGTATGTATCCTATAGAGAGAGGTATAATATTACGTGTAACGTAATATAAATGTACTATGTAACGTAGCTCGTTAAGTAATAGGTACAATGTAATAGGTCTCTTTGAAGCCGCTGGTAATGCGTATTCTTCGCGGAAGACGCTGGATCGCGCTTTTATTTCGCTTCTCTCGGCAAACTGATCGCGAATATAACTTCGCAGAAGCGACTCTATGTGAGCTGGGAATGTTACGTACGTTTGAACATTACGGCGGAGGCGAAAATTTCCCTCCCTGTGTGAGCAATTCTTTGATCGAGAGAGCGAGCGCGATATCTTCCGCGAAGAAGTGCCTAAAGTATAATCTAAGCTAACGGTATCATAGTGACTTCTCAAAAACTATAATCCACTAGTAGTTTCAACGGTAGGAACGTGTACATAGTATATTAATTCGCCCAAAAACTGATTCGCTCTAACTAATCGAACCTAGAGCGCCTAGAGTGTCTCAATAATGTCTAAGGTCTGGTAACAACACAAATGTTTACCTAATTACCTAGATATATGTATAGATAGATAGATATATAGACTCCGATATGTATATCTGTTTGATCTATTACAAAAAACTATAAGGTATAATGCGGCTCTCACAAAATATATCGATATTAATATCAAATGCTATGACGTCACCAAATAGATAAGATACAAAATCAATATAACGTATATATCGTCTGGCGTAATCTATAATAGGTCGTTAGGTACGTATTTATATAGGGTGTCCGAAAACCACTGGTACATCGGCGATCTAATTTTCTTTTTTAGCAACAACCCAATTTACTATTTGTTTCTTATTTGTCGTAGTGTCACAAAGTGCAATATTGATTATTTTTAATGCTTACGTTAGAGAATTCAAATCTCTTCGTCAAATTTTGTTTTTTATTTTTTTTTTTTTACCTTAATGCCCGTCGATAAAACACATACCGTCAATTTTTGGACACATCCTATACAAGAGTATAGAATATACATATACATATATATAAATATATTATACGTATACGTATATGTATATAGATTCACGTATGTATGTATATACATATAGATATATATAGTGTCGAGCTCGTATATTTTCTTCAGAGTATCTTAATATCGTTTAAAACATTGAATTCTTTCTCTTGCTTCGACATTATGAAATTTCATGAAGTCACTTGCGAAAAATATTCCGGAAGGCGCGACAAATGAGAAGTGCACGTGTCGCCGACCATTTGCTGCGAGCTCTCGTCGCGCTAACCGCCCTCTCGCCGCATCGCCGACAATTTGTCAGCATCGCTGTTAATTGATTTCTTTCAATTATCGCTCGTGTCGCGGCACACGCGGCGCACCGCTACATGGGAATGTTTTTCTTTTTCATTTAATTTGTGTTTTCTGATAAAATATTCGTGATCAACGGCCTCGACAAAGAGTGCTCTCTCGCTGTTGCGAGCGAGCAATTGTTCCGTCCCGAAAAACATCCTGCCGTTTTTTGACGACGTTCGAAAATACGTCACGAAACGCGACCGTTTTTCCGTATTTTCCATCGCGGCTTCTAATTATCACCCGGTCTCGTCGCGCAACCTCGCAGACGGTCATTTCTACAGCTTTGTTCCGCGTCGCTAAAATTTCAACTAGATTCTACTAATACGAATTGGCAGCCGCCGAGCGAATGTACGATCTCCATCGGGGAGTTGTCGTCACATTTTTCCATCGGGGTGACCTGAAAATCACCGACAGGAGCCCACCTGTCTTCCGATTTCCTGTTCTCCTATTTCTCTTTTACTGCAGGCTCGATATCGGCGTTAAGTTCTACAGCGTTTTAATTGAAATGCTTTTAACGGCAAGTGTGATGGACGCCGAGAACTTAATTATTCGACGTCGGTAGATGATCGAAACTTAATTAGACACGGCTTGTATAGTTACTGTTCGTCCGTTCTGCTCATCTTTATTAATAAAAATATTTCTATAATTATATTCACATATTTCTAGAATATAGCTTGATAATTAAATTGACAATACGCGATAGTTTGAATCATTGTTGACGTTTTAATCTTCCAAACATGTGTCGGTATTGATTTAAAATATTATATTTGTGCAAGAATCGTATAATCGTACAGAAATATATTCCATATCCAGACATTTCAGAATAAACAATCGCTTTCTAAAGGTCACGCGATCGAGAATTTTCATAAATTATATTTTCAAATTTAGCAACATTTTATTATATCAAAGAGCAAAAAATTTTTAAACTTTTACTTTATCATAATTAAGTTGTTTTATGTAGTTCGCAAAGTTTAAAGTGAACATTGTAAATTTATAAAGCGGAAGACAGTCCCTTAGGAGATACGTTCAACGCAACGGCGACTTACTGTTGAGCAATATTAGAATAATTTTAATCAGTTTTTTCTCTACATTTGAACACTTTGTTTATTGTCCTACTACCTGCGTCGCTAATTCAACTACGAAATAACTACCAGTCTTTTGTGATACGTTTGTCTCGCTATACGCTTGCTACACGTCTAGTTTTTTTCACTACGAGAAAATGAGGCCCCATAGGTAACTACTACGCCGAGAGAATCTGCAATTTGTTACGCGTTCTCTTCCGCTTCTACGATCACAGTTTTGCCGAACATTATCAACCGCGAACAGGTCCGCGGAAATATCGCGTTCTCGATATGTATTTCGAACCGGCAAATAATAACGAGCGGTCTCTCTAATCTACGATATTGCACTTTTCGATATCAATATCACATCCCGGTCCTTCAATCTCTAATCGACATATATTAATTAATACTTTCGACTTCTTCGTTGACTATTTGTTCAAAACAAAGGCTAGAAAACAGTCTCAGCTGGAATGTACAAAATGTTATTTAATCTAGAGTGATATTTTGTCGATAAAAATAACTCATATACTACGTCAGAGATTAATCTTTCACTGGAATTTACAGTAAGCAAAAATCTCGCATTTTAAATGACGCGTTAATTTCTTCTGGACTGATTAAACTACTTAAATAGACTTGATAAAATATAGATTCTTTTCATATAAATTGACAAAAATTGAGCTTCAAAAATTTGGTAATTTATGCAATCTAAATCGAACTACTCGAGAAATCTAGTTTTGGCACATATAAAAAGGCGATCTCTGATTGAAGGAATATCACGCGCTAACGTTTTGAAGCCACGTTACTACATCGCGCTTGAATTGTCAACTTATCGTTATGATGACTCACTACAACGAGACCGGTCAAAAGTTTGTCGGGCTAAACAAGCGTAGAAAGGAACAACGAAATAAGATGACGATCGGACGCGATTACGCCCCCGGGCGATTACTGCGGCCGCGAGAGGGGCGTGAGTATCGTAGGTCATAGGCCAATTGTCGGTATCGGATGGTAAACGGTACCCATGTCGAGGCCTTGCACGCCGAGCAGATCGCTCATGGAGTACGTGAGCGCGGCGGCGCGGGACGCGGCCGCGACCGGATGCGGTCGGTAAGAAGCCGCGGCCGCGGCCGCAGCCGCTGCGGCGATCGCACGCTTTACGTCGTAAACCGCCGCCGCGGTGGTGGCGGCCGCGGCGGCTGTAGGGGTGGCCGCGCCGGCCGCGTATTGGTAAGTAGCGGCCGCACTCGGAGCAGCGGTAGCGACTATCGGAGCCAGCAAGTGGTGGTGAGGAGGACCGGCGGTGGCCGCTGCGGCTGCATGTGCAGCGGCGGCGGCTGCCGTCGGCAAGGGATACGGCGCGTAGCGATAGGTCGTGGGGGTGGGTGTCGCGACCATCACCAACTCACCGTATGCGCCTCTGCTGGCCGCTCGCGTCTTTGCCAGATTCGCTGGGAGCATCACTTCCTTTGGCTGTGCCTTCTTGCACTCGACCTTGAAATTTTAGATAGAGCAGATGAGGAGACAAAAGACGGGTAAGCGTCGACCAACTTGAATGAGATTCAGGGGGAAAGCTGGCGACTCTGAGATAGATCGGGAGGTATTCTATGAAGTTGTCAAAGTGCCGCTCGTTATACAAATAGTACGAATTATCCTTGATGAAAAGTAAAAAGAAAAATTGGCAGCTATTATTATTATATCTCGTTGATTACTTCCTCGTTTTTTTTTTTATATATTACATGTACTTCTGCTAGAAAGACTGTTGAACAAAATTAAAAAAAAAAAAGTATTGATTAGATTGTCCGTAGCGAGCTTATTTTAAGATTATGGATAAACTTCTACGAGGTAGCATCAAGAAAATACTTGACCGAGAGCTTTCGTTTCAGTGGAAAACAAACAGACTCGTCTTACTAGAGAATCCCCGTGGCGAGCTCTTCCATCTCTCGCGTATAACTACTTCTGCATGTGTACTCCACATGCGTGTCAAATGCAAATAACGGAGATAGATCTCCTAGATTATACGGAAAATTAATTCTGCTCGACGCTGTGTCTGCAGGCAGCGAGCAGAAGGCAAATACCTTTTGATGCGACCTCTGCGGGTATGTAGGTAAAGGGAGCTTGTATCTACGACTACTTTTCCTGACTGGCGACTCACCATTTTGTTGTTGATTTCGTGGAAATGGATCTCGCAGACTTTGTCAACGACATCCTCGCTTTGAAACGTGACAAATCCAAAGCCTGGAAGAAAACGCATAGATTCTCATTAAATTTCGATATTAAGAATAATTATAAAAAGTTTAAACATTAAAAACATGTATCTTTCTAGACGATAAAATTTCACAGTAATTTGTTTCACTTCTTTTGTCAATTTTACTTGAAGAAACAAATTAGAACAGTCCTTGACTATGTAATTTATATCATATAAATATGATGAACATCCATATTACATTAAATGTTAAAAGATTAAATTATTTATCGTTTATTTATTACGAGTAGGAAAATACTTGATTCGACTGGAAGGATTTGTATTAATAAATGTATTCAATCTCAATTTGGCATAATCAATATTGGCAATGACGCAAGCTCCGCTATGATCTCATTCTCTGCTTCGTACTCCCGGGAATAAAAAAATCATCCTAGATTTCCATTAATTTAGCCGACGTAGCAAACGAGCCTCGCTTCTCCCCTCATACCGCTCGAACGCGGTCTAAGCGAAATCTCCGCGAAATTTATTTCAGCCGAAGACGAACAGCGGGAAGAAGAGACAGCGAACCGGCGAGGAGAGTCGTAACTTAATCAAGCATCAAGGGTTATTAAAAACTTTGCATTGCTCTTCGGGCGATTTTAATCTCGCTCTTTCCTCGCGCCGGCGCTTCTCTCCTAGCTGGTAATTCGAGCTCGAGATATCCGGCAAGCTATACGAAATCCAGCGCGCGATATTGCTTAAGATAACCAGGAGTTAGTGCTTTCGTGCTGAAGCAGTTGCCGAAGCTACGCTAGGTGGCCTGTAATTAAACGCGTCCGATGGTCATACAGGAGAAATGTAAACTGGTTCATCCACTAATCCGCGATCCTGCCTCATCTTTATACGAAATCCAGCGCGATATGTCAAAGACTGTCAAAGTAATTAACTTCTAAGTAATTTTAAATAATATTATTTTTTTTCAATTCGTGAAAATTAATATCGAATGAAAAGAATTTATCAAGAAATAATGAGATTATAAATCGAGGAGAAAATTTCTGTACAATTTTCATATAACCAAACGTACATGTTTATTTAAATTAGGAGGAATGCGCGATCGATCGGACAATAATCGGAAAAATAACGTAATTTACGATAAATATTGCGCTCTTAATTGAGATAGAATGGCCAGGAGTCGCTACTTCGGAAAGAAAACTTGCTGAGGGGCGAATATGTGCGCGACACATTCAATTATTCAACGCTGACGCCATTAATCGCTCGGCTTTTATATAGTATACGTTCTGCGCCAGATTCTTTCTCTCTTACATCGTTTACGCTATCCGTCTCCAACGTACTCCCTCCTACCCCGGCGTACTATCATCTCGACCGTTCCGTTCCGTCTCTCGCATTCTCTCATCTACCTAAGCTCCTCTTCTTGCTACGAGTAGCATGAGTGATTAAGTTATAAACTTGGCAAGACGTCCGTTTGAGCGCGGAAGGGGCTTACTTCATTTATGTAATTTATAGTACTCTGCCAGTCTAGCTAACTCCACGGAACCCAAGCACTCCCCTAACACAAAGGCCATGTCTTGACACCGGTAACATTTAACTACCCTACGCCGTCCCCCCCGTACTCCCATCACTTTGATGGTTCTCTCCCCGCGAACATAGCGCAACACCATGGACTACCGTTGACATTCCTTAATAGCGTTCGTCTTTTCAAACGCCTCCTCTTCGAGGAGAGACGGCGGAAAGTTATAATCCGGAAAATAAGATTATTTTCGGGATGTTTCAGTGAGCAAGATTTTGCAATATTCTTCATAAGATAAAGTTTTATATATTTCCTTAATCGTTTCGCGAGTTAACTGCTCGTCATCTTCTGGATTCATTTTTTTTACGGCGCCGACGAAGAATAATCGGAGGATAGGTTGAATGTAGGGAGCACGGTCAGCGATCTGCAGGAGTCTCGATAAATCGCGAACGGCAGGCCGTTCCATCCCCCGATAGAACTCGAATTTTCATAAGGGAATTTATTCCCGTGGTCGGTTATAGCTACCCTGCAAAGCTCCATTTTCGCGCCGCGACCGACGTACAAAGGGACGTAACCGTCGACCGATCGACTCCGTAAAGTTGAATGAGAAAAAAATGCACGCTCAGCTGGTTGAACCCTCGCCTTTTTTCAATAAAAAATACACCTCGAGATATCCTTCGGCCGTGGACCATCTTCTTGGCCTCTTAAATGATCCATAAGACCGCTGAAATTACTGTCACAGCCTCCTTATCGTAAGATTACAGCGTGCTTTCCCTTCCTTTTACGAAAGGATGCAAATCGAACGGGAATATCTTACGGTTTCATAAAAGCTGCGCGAATGGGCGAATGGGATCTGTTATAATGGAAAATACTTATATTTACGATCTCGCGAATAGTTACTCCAATATATGTAATACCAGATCGATGAAGTGAGGAAAAATTAATGTGCCTTTCATTATTATAGATGTCATTAACGTTGAGCGCTATCTTGCATTTTATTTCGAACTCGAGAAAATATAAGAAAAAAATATTTATTGTTTATATAAAGATGCTATATTGTAGCGACAGGATTAACTGCTTATCAACGTTAAAAGATAAATCTGTACGAAAATATTTATATCATAGAGTGGATAAATATGTACAATTGCGCAAAGGTGAAATTGCGTCAATATCAGTAAATGTGCACGCGAAACAAGATTTTCGTTCTTATTGGCGCAATTCTACTCCATCTTGTGCAAAGAAATCGAAATAGCAGACTGCAACGGGGAGAACGGCAGTTCTCTATTCTCACTGCCGTCTTCCTTCCACTTGATGGTACGGCATTCCTCTTCACCCCGACGTCGCCACTCGTCGACCCCTTGTTTCTTCCTATATCGCTTGTTCTCCCCTCGATTCTTGAGTATAATGCGACCTCGCCATTGTACCGAGCGAGCGCGTGTTAACGTTTAAAAGCCGCGCGGCGGCCGGCAAACGCATTTCAGAATTTTATCGTGCATTGAGAATAAAGGTAAAAGGTTTCTTTCAAAAGGCACGCCGGCGGAACGATTTAAAACTTGTAAATGGATACGAGTTAGACCTCCGCGCTCTCTCCATCTTTTCTCCGCGGCCGCACCCTCTCCACCTTCGCCCCCGTCGGCACATAAAACTTCCGCGAACTTTTGTTTGTTTCCCGCGATGTATTTACAACGGAATCTCGGTGATCGATACCGAGGAGCTACCAGGGAACAAAGTGATTATTTTATTTTTAATGTCGTTCAACTTTGATGGTCTCGTTTTACGAGGCGCACCGACAATAACGATTACTTGTATGCCGGTTTAATCTTGTAAAGCTCGTTTTGGTCGTACGAATCAGTTCATGTTGAAATTTAGAATATTGCCGTAACATTACAATTCTACAAGTAATTCCTTTGAAGCCATCGCTTTTTATATCGCGGAATAATTAATAATATTATATTAAGGTTATTTTATTTTTACCATTGTTGAATCTTGATAAATTGTTTAATAAGCTGAGCATAAAAGCGGACTATTTCATATCAAAATCCAATGTCTTAATGTAAAAATTATATTATTAATTTTTTTTAATTAATAATTTGCGAGTACAATTGCCCACGCATTGAATTTTATTGAAATAAATTATTAGTTATAAATTGAAATTTCGAACGTAAGGAATTTAGAAACCGACTCACGGCGCTTGGTGGGATTGTTTTGACTGTGTTGTAGCCGGCACTCTGTTTACATCCCCTCTCTCTCTCTCTCACATACTTTCTCTGTCGTACGCTCCGTCTATCGGAGCACACATAGTTTTCCCCTACTCTTCGCATTCATTGCGACCTGTCCGCACGTATCTTATTATCCTGTTATTATTCGCGACACTCTCGTACGGAGCGGTCGATATTAGCAAGTTATCTCTATTATTTCTACTATCTCAATACACTTACTATTTCCGTATTACATTTTTGTTACTCTTTTATCCTTATTTTGTTCTAAATCACTACCGCGATCAAATAATATTCTTTAGAAGCAACTATCGATTGAGAGCTTGCCTTGTTAATTAACTTTCGCGTTTAAAAATTTGAATATTTTATTCTGCGGCTATTTATTCTTTATTTTTACATATATTAACATTTGTACATTACAATATTAGAGATATTAAAATGTTTTCACGCCGCAAAGCGCAATTACGTAGTATTTTCTAAGCGAAAAGAGCGTAGGAAACGCGTATTGAAGTAGTATAAGCGTAATATAACTGCGACGACTAATGCGCACAAATTAATTACTAATTGTTTCCATGTTCCTCATTTCCTTACATCGTTTTTTTTAGGGTGTCGGACGCATCTTAACTTTCGTGCGATAATATCCGAGTATTATCTTTGTCTTAAGGACAAAGTACGCGTCGGGAGTGTCGTACAAAATATTGCGCGTTAATAATTAATCAAGATTTCGCGAGTGTGTGAATCGTCCCATACTGAGAGGAGGAGGGGGCTCAGGACGGGCATCGGGCACCGGCGGAGCAACTTTAAGGTATTTATCGTTTATTTATTATCTATTATTTGTAAAATATTGCATATAGAATTTTATCTAATTTAATATTTATAGTTATTAGATTTTTTGATATTACATATTTATTAATTTAACAATTACATTCTTTCGATAAATATATAATTCTTTTAGAATATTTGTATAAAAGACGAATGAAAAATTTAATAATTATTTTACTTTATCTTTTGCAGATCAACTTTGCAGTTCAACAACTCCGCTGCTGCGCATCGTACTGAGTGAGTTTTTATTTCAATATTATTATTATTATACTTTTTGTAACCGCATAATAAACTGACCCAACTGCTGATAATACTTATAATCTTTGACGGCATTAAAGATGACAATTGTCCTTAAAATGGGCGCTATTAAGTACACATATATGTGAAATCTCTCATTTACTTAAGCGTTCTATTCCGAGCAGCTAATTAACGTAACGCGGATATCAATTCCATCGAACGTTATCATTATTATAGACGTATCATTATC